CGCTGGGCTCTGGCTGGGCAGCGCTGGGCCCACTGGGGGCGGGAGGGGCCACAGCTTGGGCGTAGGGGGCCGGGGTGCCTGAGTTGTGGCTGGGGGCTGGGCTGGCCTTGGGGCCCAGGGCACTTGGGGGAGCTGCAGGGGCGGGGGCCCCGTTGCCGCCAGGGGTCGTGCTCAGGGGTGCGGCGGGCGAGGGAGCGGAGGAGTAGCTGGGCGGCACGGCTGGGGACTGAGGGTGCTGGTGGCTGTGGACCGGCTTGCAGCCGTTTTTGGCCGGAGACTGGAGGAGAGAGAAGGCAGTGAGGGCCTCCCCAGGCCATCCTCACCCCTCCACGGGGCCGCCCACTCGGGGCCCCGGACCTGGGTGGTCTTCCCCTCCTGAGTTCAGGTGCCAACCCTCAGGTGCGCTGCAGCTCAAGCCAGGCTCCCGTCCCTGCCCCACTGCCCCCTGAGGGGTCTCCAGGACGTGACACGCAACGAGGTGTCAGCCAGAGAAACCGCCCACCCGCGCAGGAAGCAGTGAAGAGGCCTCTGCACCCCAAGGCCAAGGTTATTTGCAGTCAGCCAGCTGCCGGACAAGGACAGGCTGAAAACCGTCCGGTCACTGTGCCCATCACTGAAGGGCCGCAGTCAGCTCTGGGGATGCCAGCCGGCGGGCACCCCCAGCGGGCAGCGGCCGCAGCACGCCCACTGCTGCTGAGCCCCCAGGCCGCTGCCCTAACTGCTCCCCGACCGACCCTGCGGCTCACACACAGCACGGGGCTCACGCCGACGCCCTGCTGGCACAGGCCGGTGCCCACAGCGGGCCCGCCCACGCACGCCGTTCTCACGCAAGTGTCCCAAGGCGAGAGGTGGCAAGAGAGCCCGAGGTGTGCAGGGAAGGGCGCCCAACAGCACGGTCTCGCTCTGCTACGTGGTGCAGCCCAGGCCTCGACAAGGGCCCCACGGAGACTACTGCAGATGCCCCACAGGAAACGGCAGCGGGCTGTCTGGACGTCAGGCCAGAGCAGCGGTGCCCAGAGGGAAGAGGAAGGGACCTGGGCAAACAGCTCAGCTCTAAGGATGGACAGCCCGTGACCCAGGTAGTCCGGACAAACCCAGGTAACATTGTAATCAAAAGAAAGAAACAAACAAACGCCTGCCTGATTTCGGACCGTCTCTGCTCGGCTGGTGAGACCTTTCCCGGCGGATGCACAAGCTGAGGGCCCTCGCTCTGCACCCCGGCTCGCTTCCGAGCGTTCACTCAGGAAGCCAGGAATGGCCACGGCTCCGGGGCGCGGACTCCCCTTGCCGACAGTCCCCCCAAGCAGCACCTCCCAAGCAGGCACCAAGCCTGAGGTGACTTCACCTTCCAGCCACGATGCCTGTGGCCACACCTGCCCCCCAACACTGCAGGCCCCTGGGCCGGCGTCTGTGTCCCAGAGCCTGCCCGTGCGCCTTCAGGGGCTCCAACCGACGGACAAGTGACCACTGTCCCATGCCACCAGACCCACCTGGCTGACTTCACTATCTGTCGAGCGTCCCCTCTTCTTATCATCCTCAGAGTTCTCCTAAGGAGGGAAGGAGGGGCCATCAGGAGCTGTGTGACCTGCGGTGGCTGGACCCAGCTGACAGCCCGGGACTGATCTCGGTGGAGCCTAGATCCTGCACCCAGGGGCCAGTATCACTGCCGGCTGCGGGGGAGTCCAGGAACCTGCTCTCCTCTCGGGGAGTCCCACCTGACCCCGCTCACTGAGGTCCCCTTCGCCACCCCTCTCCAAGCCCAGGACCCCCAAGCGGCCCTGGCTTGCTAGTTCCAGCACTCAGGTGGACGATACTGATGACACGTGCCCACCCTCTTTCTGGCCATTTCCGAGGCCCTGCCCCAAGAGCGCACGTCCCTGTGGCCTGTGCCCTCCTCACCGTGGTACAGTTGGCTGGACTGGGTGGGATGGGGGAGCTGGAGGTGGTCGAGGTGGGTGTGCTGCTGGACTGGTTGAAGATCTCATCCTCCATGTGACTGTGGCTGGGGGGGGAGGTGGCGACCAGCGCCTGTGCTGTGGGGGCAGGGGGGGTGCTTAGCTGGCCGGCGCCCTCCCCCGCCCTCCCGCCCAGCGCGCTCTCGGTCAGTCCCCGGCCTCACGAATGTCCTCGAGGTCCAGGTCGTCATAGAGGAACTCGTTCTCCTCAAAGTCAGGGTCCTGGGATGAGTCGACATAGTACTCGACGTCGTCCTTGATCTTGCGGATGGCGTCCACCAGGATGGAGTCGTTGTCCAGCATGCGCAGGATGGTCTCCAGCATGCGCACGTGGTAGCGGTGCTTCTCGATGTGCCGCTTCAAGCCTTCGATTCGGTCCTGCTTCTGCTGGCGAGCCCAGGGCCAGGCTCAGGGGCCGCAGGGCACCTGCCCAACCCCTCCTGCCCCCACAGAACCTGTCCTCAGTCCCTGACCCCGGGAGGCCCAGGCCCCACTCCAAGCCTTCTGGCCCTGAGCAGTGCGGTGTCCACCCCCCCCGGGAACCCTCCCGAGATGCCCCAGCCCGCCTGCAATACCTGCCCAGCCCACTCCCCGCGCGGGCCGTCTCCCTGCCGAGCCCGAGCCCCACCAGCTGCCGGCGGATGCACGCGCCACTCTGGTCTCTCCACACAGCAGAGGGCCGGTGCGGGGGGGCCCGTGTCTTTGTCATCCCCAAGGCTCCCCACCTCCGGGCCCTGAAGGGGCCCACGCTCAGAAGCCAAGCTCTGAGGCTCTCTGGGTGCCTGTCCGCCAGCCTTCAAGGTCTGACATTGTAGCTCCAAATCCTCCCTGTGAGCAGCTATTGCGTCCCCACAGCCCTGAGAAGTCTGACACCTCCAAACTCTGGCCCGCCGCCTCCTCGAGCCAGCCGCTGCCGCCCTCGCTCCCCGCGCCGACAGGCAGAGAGCCTGCACCTGTCCAAAGGGCGGCTCACAGTCCCCTAGGTTTCCTGGTGGCTCGGCTGCAGCATGCTGTAGCCGCCGTGCCTCAGGCCAATGCAAATGCTTCTCCACGCGCCTCTGTGCACCCTCACTAAGCCCTCAAAGGCCTGGGGTCTCCATCCAGGCCTGAGGTGCCACAGCCTCAAAACCCGGAGCCGCCCGCCCCGGTACTCTCCTTCAATTCAGCATGTCCCCCCAAGCCTTCCTCTTCCAAGGGCCCCACTGTATGCCCACACCCCCAGGGTGGACCACCGAGGGGCCATGCCTCCTTCCGTCACCACCCCCTCCATCCTGCCTCTTGAACCCCTTATCCCAGCTGCTAGCCTGGGAGCCCGGCCCCCTAACTCCCACAGGCCCAGAAAAGCTGGTCAAGTCCTCGGTGCTGGGTCCCCCCACTCACATCCTTGTCACCCTTCTTCTTGCGTGTCTGCACTGACAGCGACTCCACTTCACTCTCAAACTGGTCCACCTGCATGTTCAGGGTGTCGATGGTATTCTGGGGTGGGTGGGGTGGGGGGGGAGAAGTTAGCACAAGTGCCCTCACACCTGGCTCAGGCCTGCACCCGCCTCTCTCCTCTCCCCCAACACACCGTGAGCCACTGGCCGACCTCTTCCTTCTCCTTCTGGGCAGGGTCCACCTTCTGGGCCAGGCCCAGGCCCTCCTTGCTATAGGCTTTGGTTTTGGTCTCTCGTTCCACAACTTTGAACCGTTCCATTTGCTGTGGAGAGTGCAGTTGGCAGGGGGCTCCCGCAGGCAGCAGGGGGGCCGGCTAAGGGCCAGCGGACGGCAACCCTGCTCCCACTCGGAGCCAAGCCCTTCACCTCTCCCGTTCCCTCGGCAGGGGGCCCTCGCTCTTCTCAGGACCTCTGAGGTCTGGCTGGCCTACCTCTGCCCTCTGGGGCCCAGGAATCCGGCCGCCAGGCCCTGGGCGCCTACCGTCTCAATGAGCTTGCGGTTGTCTATGAGCTGCCTCTTGTCCTTGATCTCGTTGGATGCCACCCATGTCTTGATCTGGTCCCTCAGCCGCTGCAGATGGGAAGACGTCCTTAAGCCTTGGAACCGAGGCCTCCAACCCTTCTTGTCCCTGCTCCCTCCACCCTCAGGACACAGGAATCCAGGCTCCAGCCCCCTCACTTGAAGCTTCTTAATCTCCTTCTTCAGGTCAGCCTCATACTTTTCTTTCTGGTTCGCATTGGCTGCATTGTGGAGCTGGGGGTGGAGAGAATCCTGACATCAGCGTGGGGCCGGCTGCCCCAGCTCACCCTCCCGAAGTCAAGCTCTAGGCTCTCCCCCACAGGCTGGGCACTGTGGGGTATCCCCAAACCCACTCCAGAACTGCTTCTCAAGGTCCTCAGCACCTGGACACACAGTAGCCCATCTCACCAACACCCCAAGGGGAGACATTTCCTATGCCCTCCTTTCAGGGACCCAGTGTTTTTGGGGTGCCCAAGTCCTGTACCTTCTGCCAGATATCTTCAAACTGTTCCACACCCTCGGACACCTTCTTGAGGCAGCGATCAATCTCACCTGGCCAGGAGGAGGGAAGGCTATTAGAGGCCTGTCTGAGGAGCAGGATTTCAGAGGGGAGTGGGCAGTCCACCTCATCATACCCTGGAGTTTGCGCTTGTCCGCCATCTTCCCTGCCCTACAGATGCCCTCTCTTCATACTCCCTTGGAGACAGACGCTGCTGCAAGAATCAGAAGGAGCACAGTTAGTCCCTTGTCCAATCCCAGCGAAATGAGCCAGCGTGGGGACAGCGGGCTGTGTGACAAGCTAAGGAAGATGTATTTTCTATCTGATGACAAAGAAGAGACCAGTGCCCACAGGAGGACCCCAGAAGCCTGCTGAAAGAAAAAGATACTTTCTGTGTGCCTCTGTCCCATGAGGTGGACACTTCCTAGCGCATGGAACACCTTTTCCCAGATGACACGCAAATGCAGTTTCGAGCAGGGCCCTGCCACTGCCCACAGCAGTCCAGAACCCCAGCAGACTATCCCCCCAGACCTTTCTGGGTAGGGATTACCCTCTCGGACACTCCAAGAGACAAAGACAATGCACACCTCACGGTAGTGTGTACACACGTGCATATGTCTAGGGGCTGCAGAGGAGGCGGGCTGGGTCCCAAGCAGAAGCGGGCCTCTGCCCACAAAGAGTTTATTCCAGGACAGAATCTTAAAAGAAAAGGAGAGAACATTCTTAGCCTAAAGAGCCTTGCTCAGAAGGGCCAGAGGTGTGGGGGCTGAAGAGCATACCCAAGAGAAGGCTGGGGGAAGACAACACTTACACAGACAAGCATGTGAAAAGGGGATCGCAGCTGCGAGAGCTAAAGTGCTGCTGGAAGGAATTACCCTATCAGACGCATTGATGATTTACAGACTTGGGAAACTACTGAGGCAAACACTCAATGCTTAGAGTGGCACCTTCACCCTAAAGAAAGTTAGGTGCAACTCACAGGACACTAAGCTCAAAGGGGAGTTAAAGGAGGGTCCAGTCCAGGGGAGAGCAACACCCGAAGGCCTGACACCGAGACCAGAGGGCACACGGATACCAGGGAGAGTGTCAGTTATGCCAAGAGAACTCCTGAGGTGCCAGCGGAGGCCACCCCACAGAGGGGACCCACACCGCAAACATGGCGCCCGAGATTAGCGGGGCTGTGACCCCGCAGACCCAGGACAGCAACCCGGGCGAGGCATCCCGAAAGGGTCCCCACGGGGGAGGGGACAGCTTGAGAACAGTGCTGTCTGGAAGGGTGGGAAAGTTTGCTGTCGACCACCGGACAAGTGCAAAAAGGTTATGAACAGGAGACCAGAATCTTCACTTTAAGTTTAAATCACAAGTGGCTGGTGGCGCCACCCAACACCCCGGGCACAAGAGACCCAGCGGCCAGGGCGGGCCCCTCACCCTTGGGAGGCTGCTGCACCACAGGGACCCGCTTTACATGGCAGGCAGGTTGGCCCCTCGGCCTGCCTCCATGCAGACCAACTACGGAAATGGCCACACACTCCACGTGCCGGCTCCAAGGCCTGGCAGACAGCTCGCCACAGGCTCATGGGAGATGGGCAGCGCTGTGTGGGCACCTGCTATGGCAGGCCCGACGCTGCGCCCTGCGGGCACATGGGCCGACCCGGAGTCCTGGCCCCGCGCGGACAAGCTCTCACCTCCGGGGAAGAGGCCCCGAAGGGAGCTCGTTCTCATGCCCTGCACCAAGCGCCCGGTGCAGGGGAAGGAGCCCAGTCCACCGAGAGAAAACACCTAGCTGCGACGCCTCCTTGGGGAGCGGACAGGACAGCCGGCCGCGGGGTCCTCCTGGGCCACCCCCGAGAGGGAGCACAGGCAGCGAGCAGTCCTGAGGTAGCGGGAAGCCGGGTGCTGGGAGGCGCGGGTGCTGCGGAGCCCCAAAGCGCCACCTCTGCGGGGCAGGAGCTGTCGTCAGAGGCCATCAAGAGGGCGCCCCAGCAGGGGCCCCAAGGAGCAGGAAGCCGGGCTGGAGTCCAGAAGCGGAGGCCGCGTGGACAAGACCAGGCGCGAAGGGCTGGCGGCTCTCGGGGCACCCTCGAGCCCCAGGGCGAGGAGCAGCGCTGCCCCGCTCCGGACGGCGGGCAGCGCCGCGGAGTCGGGAGTCGCGGCCTCGCCAGCCCCAGGTGTGGGGCGCGCACGCAGACCACGGGCGCCAGCAGCCTCAGGGTGGAGGGAGTGCTGGGACACCACCCCTAAGAAGCCCCCCAAGTTCCACCGGAGGGGTGACGACAGCCTCCCCCGGGGGCGGGAAGAGAAGCAAGGCTGAGGCGCAGCTACTCCCCACCGTCCAACAGGGGCTGTCACACACGGCGCGAGTCTGCGGCGTGCTGGGGGCGATCCTTGACTGGAGGTGCTGCCCAGCAGCGAATCTGAGCCCCGGGGTGGCTATGCTGGGCCTGCGAGAGCCAGCTGTCACCCTCTGGCAGGCTCAGCGCCCAGGCCGGGAGCCCCCCGGGGAGGTGGGCTGGAGGCCGGTGCCAGGGACGATGACAGCGGGCGGGGTCTTCTCAAGTCGCGACCCCCACACCCGCAGCCAGCGCAGCGGCTTCGGCCACACCGAGGCCACGCAGGGCTGGCACCGCAGTCCTGGCACCCACGCCTGAGCGGGTCCTTCGCCTCTCAACGGCCGGGAAGGCCACACACCACTCCGACGCCGAGCCGCAGCTCCCTTACCCTGGGGGCGACACGAGTCTCCTTACCGCGGAGGAAACCTCAGCCCAGGCCGGAGGCAGGGGACGCAGTGGGGGGCTCTGGGGGCTTCAGCAGGGGGTGTGGCTAGAGCGAAGGCTGTTCTACCGCTGCTTACGCCAAGAGGATGCTTAGTGTCCACCACAGAGCCACAGTGAGGGCCAGCGGGCGCAGGGCCGCTGGCCCCGGCAACTGTCACCGCAGCGGGGGATTTGAGCGGGGGGCAGAAGCCGCAGACGCGGAGAAGTGACAGCCTCCCTGGTGAGTGCGGTGGGCAGGTGTCAAAACTGTCCGGAAAGGTCGCGCCAGCCCTGACCCAGGCCGTGCTGAGGGACAGGGGCGCTCCCGTGCCCACGGGGCAAGAAGGGCACCGAGAGAGCAGGCGCCAGGGATGCCGCCTGCCCGGGCGCCCACCCCAGGGTGGTGCTGCCCACCCTCCGAGCCCCGAGTGGCCAGGGCCGGCCAGAGCGGGGCGGCCGCAGCCGGGGCTTCTCCTGGGGGGACTCTGCTGGCAAGGGGCGGCGGAGAGCACACTCCGGGTCAGAAGGCCGGCGGCGGGCAGCACGGGCCGGCTCCGGGGCCGGGGAGCCCCGGAGGAGAAGGGCGAGCTGCGCGCCCAAGAAGTGGAAACTTTGCGCCGG